CGGCTGTCGGGGGGCTGCGGGGATGCCCCCCGGTTCCTGCCCCTTCCCAATGGGGCCGGCCACACCGGGAGCTTGGCTGACCGCTGGGTTGGTGGAGGTGCAAAATAAAAGCGTTAAGTGGTGAAGCAAAGCAGCCGGGGCGATGCCAGGCAGTGGGTGCCCCAAGGACCTGCCAGGCTGTGGGTGGAGGTGATGGGGCAGCTATTTCGGGGTGTTCTGGGGGGACCCTGATGAGTGCTCGTGCACCGGCAGCTGGTGTTTCAGCAGCACGCTGCGGTGGCGAGGGCTGAGCTGGGGAAGGGGCTTGAGGGTGCCACGGGTGGCAGGCACCAAACCACTGCCCTGGCTGCCTTTGGGGTGCAAGGGGGACATCACCCGGGCCCGGCGGGGGGACCTCGGTGGTGGTACAGTGCCAACCCCTCGCTGGGAAGTGCTGATTCACGGCGCTGAGCCGTCGGCCGGGGAAGGCAACGCTGCCCTGGCCCTGGCTGCAGGATGCTGGTGGTGGGGCCGGCGCCCCGGCACTCTTGGCTTTCCTCCTGCCGAGCAGGCAGAATGACAATCCCCGGGCGGCGGGTGCCGGCGGCGGCGTGGCTCTGCCAGGCAGGGCTGTTTGGAAGGCGCTGGTGCGGCAGAGGGAGATTTAAAGGGTCGGCGAGCGCCCGCGCTCGAAATGCACGCTGGCAGGGTCCTTGGGGCCCCCCGCGGGCAGTGCTGGGCTGAAGCGTGCCACAGAGACCCGACACAACTCGGCGCACCCAGCCCATTCTCAGCGCCCAGGCAGACCGGCTGCAGCTCCGGCGGTGTTTTGGTGCAGGTTGCCAAATTTGGGCTTCCCTGGGGGTTTTCTACTGCAGGACAGGAGGGCGAGCCCAGTGCCAGCGCGGCACGGAGGGCTTGTGGGCCCTGCTCTTGTGTGCTCCTGGGTGCTCCTGCACGCGCTTGCACGGCCTCGCACGCTCTCACGCGTGCCTTCTTGCACGTGCTCGCATGAATTCACGTGCCCTTGCTTGCACGTGCACGCTCCTACACGTCCTTGCTCACGCGTGCATGCTCTGACACCCTTCTACATGTCTTTGCTCATGCGTGCGTGCTCTGGCACACTCCTGGCACGTCCTTGCTCACGCATGCGTGCTCTGACACGCTTCTACAAGTCTTTGCTCATGTGTGTGTGCTCTGGCACACTCCTGCACGTCCTTGCTCATGCATGCATGCTCTGGCACGCTCCTGCACGTCCTTGCTCACGCGTGCGTGCTCTGGCACACTGCTGGCACGTCCTTGCTCACACGTGCATGCTCTGGCACTCTTCTACATGTCTTTGCTCACACGTGCATGCTCTGGCACATTCTTGCACATCCTGGCTTGCGCATGTGTGCTCTTGCACGCTCCTTTATGTCCTTGCACGCTCTGGCACGCTCTTGCGTGCAAGCCGGCTGCCCAGCCAAGGCCCTGCCTGCGCGGCCGCGATTAGGGTGCAGAGAG